TTGTTGAATTTTCACGCAGGTGAACCGATACATTTCTTTTAAAATAAACAAGAAATTAACATAAAGAGTGCAGTTTACCCGGAAACAGGCATCTGTCGTGGTTATTCGTGCTTTACAACGCCTGCCTAGAGCAGGATATGCATCCACACAAGCGATGATATAAATTTAGGCCCCACGCTGGTAATACGGTTCGATCTTCACTGACGCGCCGAACAGCAACGTGCCATTTTTTGCTATAACTATTTTCCCACCGATCCTATGCTACAAACTAAACGCAAGAATCTACACCGTCTCGCGAGCGAGCGTGGAGAGCCTATGTGGCAGCCATGCTTCCAACCCCGCTTCGATGACGTTGATAGCGCGACACCTCTAGGTTGATCACGAGGCCAATAGTAGAAATAGGCGTCCGCCGAACGCATTAAAAAAAAAAAAAGAAGTCTCACCATTCTCACCAGGTGCCGAACCATAAAAACTATAAGCACCATGACGGAGGCGAGGCTGAGTGTTCCAACCAGAATCTTCGCCCAGGGCGGAAACTCGTTGTCCGCCATGATGAGGTCTCCCTCAACAACTGCTAGGGCCTGATATGTGAAGATAACCTATCAAGCAAAAATCCAGGAACTTATTTACTTTCCACTTACCTATAGGCAATCTGCAAAACAGGAGCTGCGTTTCGGTTTCTTACATCGTATCGCGTTCAGTGGTGGACACCGCGGTCCTCCACCTCAAATCCACCCGTTTGCGTTTCTCGCCCTGGCCTTCGTGGATTGATCCACGAAGTGATGAATATACGTGATATGTACACGTAACTGCATCACGTGTACATATGAATCAATCTACCAAGACTAGGGTGAGGTACGCTGCGGTGAAGCGTGAAGAGCAGGTCCGCGGTATCCGTGCCTTGCCGCGGTTGGTCGCGGTACGATGGACGAAACCTGAAACGCTCTTCGTTGACACTAAATTCTTCGTTGACACTAAATTTCCAGAACTCGTGTCAGCCGCTGGGGGGCGTTACAGTTTTTCTCATTGACTATTTGTAAATTCTTGGCATGCCTGAATATTTTATGAGTAACTAATCTCGACATACAGGTTACCGTCACTACGATCAGTTCTTGTAATGCTTTTTTTTTCGACTTGGAATTGCTTTAAGTGCAAACACTTTTACAATAAAAATAATTCAGTTATTTTTTATTATTTATTTGTAATATTTTCGTAGCGAGGCATGTGCTGGGTCTCAGGGTATACTGCATACCAAAATCTAAGACTAAACTATTTTATTTTATTTTGTTTAAACGGAGGCTTTGAAGTTGAGCGAATATATAAACTCGGAAACCCGGCGTTTCATACTTTTCTTTTATATACAAGACCGTCTCTACATGTCGAACCATACCAATATGCTTAGTGCTGTAGTTATAGATACACAATTGAATAGTATAAACAATTTATTAAAACTAAAAATGTATATACATGAAACACTACAATGCGATTTTGCTAAAACAAATGATTGGATATGTGAAAAGTATAATCAGTTTAATATTTGCGAGTTAAATTTTCAATTAAACTTAGAACAATTTGCAAGTACTATTCAAGCGTTTGTAGAACGTACTATTTGTGCGACTCCAGTAAACGTGCTTCTAAAAAACCGAATGAAACATTTATGTTCTCTAATGTGTTGTGTTTTTATTTTGTGCTACTGTTCCTCGTGCGTCATAAACATCTTAGCGAGGGCGTTTCGCGCACACGCAATATCAGAGGGAAAACAAATTTGAACGCGTAGTTTATGGACATCAATAAACACTTGAAAACATTTTAAAACACTTCGAATATAGTAAAGACCGGGCCTTGCAGTTTAAGTCATGAACTCACGATCGTGATCGTTGGTGCTGTGAAGGTCCAAGTCATCATCCAATAAGGGCTCACCGGTTTCTTGAGCATGTATTCGACATCAAAGCAGATCCTTCTCAAACCTAATAAATAAAAATACTGATTATTTTTCCTATATAATACAAAACACCAAACATTGCAAGAATAACTGAGCACCATTTTGGTTGTTCACGATTATATTGGACTACTCCGAGGCTGCTTAATACATAGTAAGCAAAAAAAAACGCTGTTGATATAAAACCCCTCTTCTCAGTGACTCTCGGACATCTTAAAAACGGTTTGTACTAATAAACAAGTGTCTGTACTCAAAATAACTGTTTACATTGCTGGACACGTTACACCCATATCAATCACTTTTACTTCTATTATATTTTAGCGTTTCTCACAATGAATGACAAAACAAGCTCCCCCCCCCCCCCCCGTTCCCCCTCTTGCCAACAATTACCCTAAAAGCTTTCCCATCTGACTTACAAAGCCGAAAATACTGCGAAATCTACAGGACAAATCTGTCGTGGAACATATCTTTAACATAAGGTTCCAACATTTTATTCAGACTTACCGTAGAACCATATTAAACCCAGGGTTTCTAACATTGTCACAGTAAGCATGAGGTTCCGGTTAAGCCCCTGTTCAATTATCTGGTGAAAGTAGGGGCCACCCTGGAAATGCAATGACGTCATAAATATTCCGTTCCGCATAATGAGCCGTCAAGTTAAATTTGGTTTTCAGTCACTATCGGCAGGTTTGACAAACAGGCGACACAACCAATTGAACAAACACACCATCAGTTGTACAGTACTCAGCAAACTTATATGGAACACGCAAGCTATGTTGTTTTTTAATGGGAACTCTATCTTTGTGACAGCGGAGCAACGGTTTTGGTACGTATCACTCAACAAAGCACTCTGAAGTGCTACACCAAGAAGCCGTAGTTCTACCAGGATAATGTGTGTCCAGAATAATTTCTACCAGGGTAAAGCTGCCATGACAAAACACACAGTTCACGACTTCCGTACAGATTTGGTGAGCACTGTACTCCCACAGTGGCTTAGTAGACAGAACCTTGATATTTCAATTATATTTGCCTTTATCAAGATGTTCTTTGGGATAGACAGTAGTATCACCCTGGTCATTGTTTGATGCTTCAAAGGCAAAGCGGTTTTTCTCTATATGACACTCTGGGAAACATTTTTTGTAAGTGCGCGTTTGATTAAGCCAAAACATTTAATCATTTGAAAATATAACAGCAAAGAATATCGGCGATATTCAATAAAAATGATGAAAATATAAAAAAACGTATTTAAACTGGCAACCAGTTAACTATAGGGGTTTCAACGGCATAGCTATTTGTAATAAAACATTCTCCACGCGAGGATGGCGTTTGAGGCAGACAGTACGACGTTATTCAAGCAACTCATAACCGTACGAAATGCAAGGCAATTCGTGCTTCACAAAAACAATTACTGGAAACTTTGCTATATCCTGCTATGTTGCCCTATATCATATTAATTCCTATGCTTCCCTGTATCATGATAGTAGTAAATGTTATACCAGGAAACAAACCCGGTAAGCCTCAGTCAGCGGAACACAAACAGCTGAAAATTCCGACCAGGAAAACAGGATTTTTAAGATGGCACCTCGCAAGAGCATCACTTCCCGAACGTGAAAGCGACGTTTGCTTTTAGAGTGGCTCATCAAGCATATTTGCCTCCAAATGTCAAGGGACTGAAAAAAAACTATTAACTCAAAATATACCTTTTTATGTAAACAAAACATCTAGCACCATTGTGGCCCTTTTAGACTTGACTGTCGAAACATTTTTGGCACATCAAAATCATTTACGTTATCGCGTTTAAATGTTTGCAGGGTGTTCCAGTGACAACTGAGTATATTTGAAAAAAAAAAAAACTTGAAATATAAAAGTTTATAATTTCATCAACGGCATTGAACCTCAATGGACGACTAAAATTAGTCATTGCCAATTTAACAGCCAAAAATCTGCTAATTTACTTTGAAAATATTAGTTCTAGCTGGCGCATTTCACATGTAGATTTGTTGCCCGTCATTCTAGTATGCTATATCAATTAGAAGTTAGAAAACCATATTATTATCCGCACTGCTCGATGTCAAAATTGAGCTATTTTTAGTCAGTGACGCCGAAACGAAGGATCTAAAGCGCCGAAATCTGTGCACCCCACAAAACACCAAAGTGTGGCACGCCTTTCTTCCGACCACGTGTATCTTAGATCACGTGCCGCTGCCAGATCGGTTCGCGCCTGCCGCGGATGCCAACGTCACTTCCAGGTTGGATTTCTGTCGCTCTTTTTCTCTTAGTTTTGGTACCTTAGTCTTCTCACACAATCAATTTGAGAGAGAATAGCGCGGAGCAGAATTTAATTGTCTGAATTCTAACAACTGTGGCATAGTGTGACCTCGGGCAACTCATAATTAAATAGATTGGGCTGGGTAAGGCTATTATTTCCAAGGTTAATTAGCGCATCTTAAGCAATTAGTTTGATAATAATTATTTTACTCTCGTAACGAGGGTTCTCCCCAGAAATGCTTGACATCTGGGCATCTGACAATATCCAGGGTGTTAGGGGGAGAGAGGGTATTTGTGTTCTCGTCACTTTCTCTGCTGCGCAGCAACTGATTTTGCTTGCAAGGATTCTACTGTTTTCTTGCGTAATGCCACACAAGTCTGCCAAACTCAACAATCTGGGGCGTTGTGCATTTCCAAAATTCATATTGTTTTCCCAGCGGAGGTAAAATAGAGAGGTGGACAGTAAGCCAGACAGGTGGACGGCAAAGCCACTGGCGCCCACTGTGGAGAGAACCCTGCTCGTAACCTAACCTCCGTCGCAATCGATAATGTTACCCCGAAGGAATTATTCTTATATTTCACGTTCGCGTTATTAAACATTGCGATCAGGTGTTGCTGAAACATCCTGTGTATTAGAGCCAGAATTCGGCACTTTTAATGGCGTGAAGATGAGAGATAATAAATTTCACAGTTTCAAGAAACACTAAAAGTCTTGTCTTCTGCAGGGCTGAGAACTCGGTATGGTTTCTATTTTTGTTTTGTGGCGAAGCTTATGTCATAAGCAGAGTTTCACCTGAGTGCAGAAGAGGGCGCTGACGCAATAGGCCACGCCACAGACTCCAAGAAGAGCCTTCCTGGTAGCATTATCGTCCACAAAATTGAAGATACGGCACACCTCGACCGCGCACGTATGTACCAGGAACACCTGTAGGATTCAATCGACGAAACAAACGAACTGTATTATGACATAATTGCATTCCAAGGCATCATACGTAGTGCTACCCACGTAAGCCACAGGTGTGTAATATGGTTCATAATAAGGTATATATTGCCCTTAATTTCGGAAGCGTAGAGGACGGTATGAACCGCTTGCGGTCATCCACGTTGTGGTATAGAACCGAACAAAACAAAGAATATCAAGAGAAGATAGGGAAAACGGGTGGCTGTGTTTTCTGAACATTTCGCTCAATTGTCCACAATGTAGTTCTTGAAGATATGTGGATCCCGAAACATTTAGGGACACGTTCTTGATGAAGTGCGAGTTCTGAACGTTGAAGTTTTGCTTAGCGACACCCGTTCATTTTTATTCTCATCCGGAGTCGTCTGATGATGCGATTAGCGAATGGGCTATGTTGCTGTGTGTTTGTTGATGTTGCCTTTTGTTTCGGTAACGTGCTTATTTCTAATGGAATTTAACCAGTTGTCATTTGAGCGAGTGGTGAATCAGCTCGCTACCTTGAATGTGCGGTGAGTAATGCAATGTTTTTTGTGTTTTTTTTTGTTTTTTTTTTATTTTTTAATGGCGTTTAGCGTAGAAAGTTCTGAAATTTTCATATGACCGGAATAATAATCAGCTTCATGGGTCTACTTTGTTTCTTCCTCATTTTAAACCTGAAGTTTTCGAGCGTGTGGGGCCTTCACGTCCCAAGATCAAGCACGCAAACGGCATTTGTTTTCCCCTTGATTTTGTTGCAACATAAAAGAAGTGCAAAAAATGTTCGGCCTCTCAGATTCCCAGCGCAAAAGTGCTTCACTACGCCATTCAGTAAAAATGTATTATTCTTCTCACATAGCGGCAAGAAAGAGGCATCTTCTAAGTTTTTTATTCATATATCTGGCACCCTAAAATACAAATATCCACCTAATTCACAAAGCGCTTCGGCGCATTGGACTTTACATAGAGCCACGGTGGGACTGTACTTCCTGGAGTAAAACTCCTGCAGTTTGGCCGTAATAGAGCATTGCCTTAGTAGGCAATGCTTTTTTTATTTTTTATTTTTTTATTCTCCAACAAACTGTACTGTGGTAATTAGGCCACTTTTAAAACACATTTCGTTCTGGAAATCGTCGCCACATAAGATTAGCAGAAAAAACTCCACCCCCAATTTAACGGAGAAACATGGTATACTAAAAAAAAAACGGCATTATTCTAGCGTCACCGAATGTTATATTCGGTTCGCTGCTACAACTACATTATGTTGCTTGTAAATGAACATTATATGTTCTATGAAATTTTCAGAATAATGATGTCTATACAATACTCAAGATCCAGTAACTTTAGCAATACCACCTTAAAAGAAAGAAAAAACCTTCGTTTTTGTTTGCTTTTTGGCAGGGGGGGGGGGGGGGGCGAGGGGGTTCGCTTTTCCTGTAAAAGTTGTGTTGCAACTCTAGCCCGAATTCTCTTATTCACACTAAAGTTGCAATTCTCAATTGTCAATCCCTATTTGATATCCAACTGGAATTCGACAATCAATTTTAAACGAATGTGCCTTTGACAAAACGAACGCAGATTGTTCATGTTGGCCCACTTAGTGATCGGTTGAAGTAGACGAGCTGTATCGTCCTTCAACAAAAAAAAAAATTGCGCGAATGACGATTTTTTTTTATTTGACCGCTATTTTTTTAACATATATAATGCATCACTCCCTGTAACTTCATTATGTAGCCTTTTTTCGTTAAATATTATAGGAACATATTTTCATGGTGTTGTAAAAATAATATAAAGCAGAAACACCTCACTTTGTGACCACAAACAAATACTCTTAATAAAAATAATGCACAGAAACAAATAGCTACATGATGACGCCTGCGTGATATGGCGGTGAAATGACATTTCGAAGTGCAAGGATGACGATTCATATAAGCAATAAAGAATGTTCCTAAAGTAGTATTTTATGTTTATGTTCAAGCTTCGTGATTTAACGACCCTAGTCTAAAATTTGTTTTTCTTTCCGCCTGATTTAAATTAGGCAATTCGCGGAAGTCACTGGGGAAAAACGGGGGAAAAAATCACACCGGTTACCCTTTTTATGAGATCTGAATGTTTCCTACGATATTTACCAAAATGTCGGCTTTTCTTATAAGGCTTTCAATTAGGTTTATTGCACAGTATTGCTGAACAAATATTCCTCTATAAGCTTTTAAAAGTAACCTTACGTGAGCGCTTATTCCAGCCGCGAAGAGCGCCGTGAAGACCGAAATGCTGCAATACATCGGGTACGTGCACGTTAGGACCAACTCCGGTAATGTGACCAGCTGATGAACTGTAAGAAAATCCCCTAGCATTACAATCAGTTTGTGCCAAATGGCAGCAATGGGCATTACTAAAATCAAGATCAAGATTAAACACACTACTAAATGAATCACAAAAACACAGGTAGTCCGAACGGACATGGTCGCTCCAACTCAACAATCATTGGTAAAAAAATTAATATTGTTAGATATATTCTAGTTATTGTTTTACCAAGGTGAACGTACAAGCGTGGACTTTATGCTGTAAAAGTATCTGATGGGCACTTGAGCATGTGTGCTACAAGGGCTGTTCAAGCCAGCTTGTAAGCACCTGAAATTACAACTTTCTATACATAGAAGTGAAGAGCATTATTGCATTGATTACATTCATTAGGCATTTTTGGTAGCGTAATTGAGATGTTCAACAGGCTATAGTTTTGATGTGGGACAAAACTCGTCGAACTAATAGCACTGTGCGGTGTGTCTTATATCTAGTATCACGTAGGAAGTCTTTTTTTCTCTCTAACATGCACTTTTTACACATACAAAAGTCTAGGACAGATAAATTCTGTTGGTCCATATTAATTTTAGGTAGAACGTCCTCGCGCAATTTCTCAGATCTAATTTGCGCATACAAGACAGTACAAAATTACACCTGCGAAATCCGCTGAGAAACAGATCATTATGTGTCATTATGTGGTTTTGATTTCTCAGATCTAAATTGCACATACAAGACAGTACAAAATTACACCTGCGAAATCCGCTGAGAAACAGATCATTATGTGCCATTATGTGGTTTTGAGAACAGGTCGGCCTAAAAAGAATTGTCCAAAATGCTAAAGAAAAAAGGCTCGATTCTCATACCGAGAGGTACGATAAATTACGTATTTCGTTCATTTTCCTGAGTGATGCCAACTTATTCGCTACTTATGCGAAAACGACGGCATCTAGTGGCTAGAACAGAAAGCTGTAGCGACAAGTTCGCTCGTGAGCCTTCTCGGGCGAATCATATATTGACGGCGCCAGGCGGTCTAAAGACGAAGCCGTGAAAGTTCACAGAGCGCAAGTTCGTCTGCTTCCTGCGCCGCAAGGGTTGCACTGACGTCAGAACGCCGAGCTCTGATTGGCTCTGATGAGAAGGATAGTGGGTAGACCTCAATGATTGCTGCCTCGAGGTCTACCCGCTGTCCTTCTCGTCGGAGCCAATAAGAACTCGACGTTCTGACGTCACAGCAACCCCCTGCTCAGGATACAGACGAACTTGCGCTCCGCATAGGTTCGAAAACGTGATGAAAATCTAGAATAGTCTAAAACTGGGACGAATGCAGATGAGCGAAATTCCTTCGAGACAAGTCTTTTCGCTCTTTCTTCTACGAATACCTTGTGGGTTTTACTCAGATTAAAACTACGAAGATGAGTCGTTCCGCCTACAGTTACTGAGCGCTTAAAGCGGGGGTAACACCGCTTATACACCATACAAAAGAATGCTTCGAATGCCGCATGGCAACGAGTTCAAGGAGAAAACTTGGCAGGAGGCATTCGAACCACTAATCTTGATGTGACTCCTTTCTGCAGACTGTCTTTTGTATGACGTATGCGCAGTGTGACCCCGGCTTAAAGGGACACTCCAAGGAAAAAAAAGTACTTTGAGAAGCATAAATGGGAAACGTAATTTTCTGAAAAAGACTAAAATATTACGCAGTATTTCTGGCGTTAGACGCAATTCAGGTGCAGAAAGTAAAGGACGCAGCCCGCTAAACCCCGCCCGGTGCTTACAAAACGCTTTCGTCTCATTGGCTGGAGAGATGATTGACGTATGAGAGGTTGGTTGCAAATTTGTATCTCTGTTGTCATAATGGTATTTTAATTTACTATTTTTTATGTTTGAGAAGCAAATATTCAAGATAGAGTGATTTTTGCTTTCAAATGTATACTGAGATTGCTTCTCCCGCTTTGGTTTGAAACGTTAACAAACATGGCTGCCCGCGTCTCTGGAGTGCTGAACGAGCGAAGATTGTTGTGCTCATCAGTTTTTATAAGTGCGAGTGGTTTCGAGTTCGCAGAGGTGCTAAAAGGAACAGCTCTTCAACCGACCTTGCTTGCAGGAGAAAAGACTGCCGCAAGTACGCGCCTTCGAAAGGCTGTGCGAATGGTTGTTCTTGTAGCTGGACTGGCCTAAGCCTAGCATACCAGTCTCCAGATCAATTATTTTGATCGATGTGGCTTGATTTCTTTTTGGCACGTGTGAATGCTGAATAAAGATGTTGGCTCCCGTAAAGGCGGCCCTGCTGCTCTGTGAATTGGGCAACTGTCGTGATTGCGACCAAGGTTTCAATACCGAGAACATAACAACACAGGTAAGAATTTGCGGGCCATTTCGTTCGAATCAATCAAACGTTGGGCTCGCATCAAGTTCTTCTAGGTATGTTCCCGTCATTGCGCCTCTAAAGGCAACACCGCGACAACTTTTCTTGACAATGCAGTGGAAGGTACAGGCACGCGTTCCCTCTCCCATTTTGAGCGCTGAATAAAGCTGTGCCCGGAAATCCCAAGAAAAGTTTTCGCGGAGTATAGCTTTCATTTTTTGCAGTGCGCCTGACCTACCAAAGCCAATATTTTTGCGTCGAGTTTTGATTGTGCATCATGACGCTCACCCACACTGCTCGCGTTTGCCATGTGAAAAAAATAACAAGATCAGTAAGGCTAGAAAGTCTGCAGACTTATTTTGCGGATTTTAGAGCGCAGCTCTTAGGCGCCCGTTACCGACTTGAGCGCTGTCGTCATTGGCGTAACCGCGTGGTGCATTATGGGAAATATCCCACAATGCACCGCGCGGGACCCTCCTGACGTCACTCGCGATGTCCCGTGGGACGTCACGAAAGTCCCGCGCGCAGCATTATGGCACGGATGAAGAAAGAATAAAACAATTAAAACAGGGACAACACAACCGCATCTTTCAAATGAAAGATGTGGTTGTGTTGTCCCTGTTTTAATTGTTTTATGCTTTCTTCATCTATGACTTAAACCAACACGCTCTTCTCCCAATGCATTATGGGTTATTTCCCATAGTGCACCGCGCGGGGAGAAAGAGGGAGAGGAGGAGAGGAAGGGGAGAAGGAGAGGAGGTATTTTAAGGATGAGGGGAGGAGGAGGGAGGAGGAGGAGTAGCATGTAGGATGAGGAGGCGAGCAGGAGAGGAGGGGCATAGCCTCCTCTCTATACCTTCCCCTCCTCCTCCTCAAGAGCTGCGCTCTGATTCGGCGTTACAGGATGTTGTAAACGGCTGTCATTTTTTTCTTTTTAGTTCACTCGGTCGCTTATTACGCGCATCCAAAGACGCTGAAAGACGTTTGTATTGGACCGTGACTCGTGCATGATGAAACGTTAGAGCGCCACTTTCATGGCCGCGTGTTCTAAGCGTTGCAGACGTTTTTAGCCTGGGGACGAATAGCAGACGGACGGATGTGAAAACGGACACCCGCGCGCAGCTTTCGTGTCTGCGTCTCACGGCATTGCAGACGACGATAGACGGCGGTGAAATAGCAGACGGTGCCGGAGGCTGCCGCTCGACTGCTCACACGACTAGCAGGCGGCGTTAAACTTCCAGATTAGACGCACCAAATGACACGAACGGGATAAACTAGACTTGTTAGCCTGTTCGGTCGAGCAGCCAAGTCAGTTCACTAGAAATGGGCGGGGCCACCGATCTGTGGGCGGGGCTTAGAGCGGCCTGTGACCTCCACCCTAATTGCGTCTGAGAAAGTAAAAATTTATCTTTTTTTTTTCGTACAAAAATACTTTTGTAAAATGCCTGTCGCCATATATAATTTTTTTAACATTTTTTGTTCGTTTCACTGTTTCTGTAAGAAACGTAAGTCGAGACTTATTATGTTCACTGTTCGCGCCTTTGTGATTATTACTACGGTGTTCTATTGGCTAAAGCTGCAATCTTATGAACTACGGATCGGACCCGTCACGCCCGGTGTTTCTTAAGTTGTCAGTGACTATATATATACCTGATATGTAGTTTGCTAGTTTATTGCCTTATGTGGAAAATATTCCAAGAAGATATAAATAAATAAATAGAGGTTGCTTACAAAATAGCGGAACCGCCGAACTGATTTGCTTGTGGTTGAGTTTTGACTTGTAAATCCAGCTGTAGGTCAGCACGGATATTATCTGGCACACAAAGATGTCCACAACGACGGTCGAAATTATAAATCTGTAAAATACCAGTAGAGTTAGCCTTTGTTCGCCGCCTTCGTGCAAAAAAACTGCTAACTCATTGTGAGCAAGACCTTGGATTTTTTTTTTTCAGTAGAGGAAGCGTAAGGACAGATATCACACACCACGGGGAAAGAATAGTGACGAGTTCTTGAATTTGTTCCTTCTCGTAACTGTCATCTGGTAAAGCATAGGCACGCAAAACGGCATGTTCCTGCTCCGAGTAGCGCCGCTGTTGGGCATGTTAACAAGAAAAATAAAACTCTATTGAAATCAAACAGTGTACACTTTAATGAACAACATATCTGTGTACATTACTCAGTACACTCAAATACGTTAGTGCGAGTTACCGCAAACGGTGTTACTTGAAGCGAGTTACTAAGAAATCCAACACCCATATTCACTGGGTTTCTTTGATCTCAGCGACCAGCCATTCCTGTGTCCGGAAATAGATTGGAACACCGTTCGTTAACATTGAGCTAATTATTCGAGCAAGCACGCTATTTTAGACAGTACTAGATTGCACAAAACGGGTGACACACAACATGAGAAAAGCGTCCAATAATAAAGTGGCGTTCTTGAAAAACCTGTCTTTCGGGCTAAACAGGTTCCTACTTTTTAGCCTGAGACGGAGTTAACAGTTTTAAATCGCGTTATATAAAGCACTGGGAGCAGGCTGGGACCTGGAGCTGTTGAGACTCAATACGTTGATAAAGAATGAGTTTGAAAAAAAACAAAAGATGGGGTGCATCATCAAGACAAGATGGTTCAATGTTCCTTTACCTTTCCATCGACGTCCCGTACTTGCAACGCGATCCCACCAAGATAACAATGCCGCAGCAAGTGCCGAGCGATAGCAAGGTGTGTTCCGCAGCATCCATCCATACCTTGAGATTTGAGAGAAAAAAAAAATCAGTGAAGCTAATGTTTGAGGTAAGGTAAGTTTGCAGTTACGGTTCAAGGGCGCCACCATAGACCACTGCTGAGGCAAGCTCGTAGTTGCCAGACTACTGCCCTAACAAAGCCTTTTTCCGCACGAGTTTCTGAAGCGCGCTGGCTTTCAGACGTGTATGGACACGACAAAAACGGAAAAAAAATTAAAACCCCGAGTTTTTTTTTTCTTCTTTTTTCAATAATAGTTGGGAAATTTGAATAGATTTAGCCTCAGCTCTGTTACTAATGACGCCGTGTTCGAGGAAGCATATTGTCCTTAAGAATTTCTGCAATGGTGCTGATTCTCTCGTAACCTGAGAAGACAGAATGAGTAAAAAATAGAATTCTAAATGGAGGGGTGATATAACACTCGACATAACGAAAAGGGCGCAAGATGGTGAGAGAATGTCAAAGAGGACCACAAAGACTAGTATGTCTCCTGTGTGGTTCTCTTTGACTTCGTTCCGTCTAACTATTTTCGCGGTTTTCACTAATTCGATCTATCAGGAACTAGCCTAGCAATCCACTTATTTACAGAAAATAAAGTTTTGTGTGGTTTCTACTTGGCGAAAACGGGGACCGAACTTTCCGTATCTAAAGGTAGAAAGCAGGAAAGAGTATGAGAGCAGAAATAACCTGCCAAAGTACAGAGCGAGGAGTGTTCCCAAAAAAAAAACCTACTTGCTTCTCTGCGAGCTTCTTAATATCCGGCAGGAAGGAATAGCTCAGGGCTTGCAGAGACAGGTGGTTAAAGCTGCACTCAAATAAAAAAGGCAGGAATGCCATTACTGCAAAAAGGCTGACCAGCTTGTGCACCTGCAAAGTGATTAGTGTTCAGAATTGATTGGCGTGACGAGACTTTATTAATACTCTTTTTTTAATAACCAAGTACAAAAATACAGCATAAATTGGACGATCTGAGACTTGGGTAAGAAAGAGGATGTACAGTTAAAACAAAAACCTGTGTGTGCGTATGTGTGCTTTTGTGCTTTTGTTTTCCACACCAAAATTACTCCTTACCGTGGTGCTAAACGTGCACCTGCCCATGTGTACTATGACTCGACCCCCTTTTTTTTACAAATATACCCTATTGAAAATTCCATCAAGGTACGTAATTTGGGACACTGACTGCCAGTCAGCAGCCTTGGTGGAACGTGATGGACCATCAGACGTCATCTGATGGTCCATCAGATGACTTCTGACTGCCACTGCCAAGGGAATTTCATCAACAAGGGCAGCATTTATATAAGAGTAAACCTATACGCACTCATAAATATGGCCAAATGCCTCAATAAAACAAAATGTTCGAGAAAAAGAAAATAAAAAAATAGAACCACCGCGCATCGAACCCGCGACCACTTGCGTACAAATTGGGCACCTTAACCCCTAGGCTATGCCACCGCTTAGCGAACTCGATTTGACTATTCGGTTTATGCGAAATGCTTCGGCTGCAAATGCAATTAAGCCGTCAGCATGTTATGCAAAGCACTCGTACATTACTCTCCGTACTTCAGTTTTACTCACCTGCCATGTAGAGTACTTTCGCGTCGTAGAACGATCCTTTTGTTTACGCGTCACCGGCCCAGTAGACCTGGTACACCTTGACGTCTTCAACTACACCGCTAAAGTCCCTTACATCGTCGGAAGTCACAACAGGCTGGGTCTTGTAGAGTAGAAATTCTACTAAAACATAAGACATTGTAGAGCCCGGGCAGGATCGACAGGTTGGAGCACGCGGGCAAACAAAACGAGTCGAGAGCGATCGTTCATGAAAGTTTGGCGAAGTCTCTATGGGCGAAGCGAAGTGTCGTGTTCGGCGCTTCGGCGGGCTTCTGATCCAGGTTGTCGGTCGGTTGCGTGTCATATCTCTGACGTCAGCGGTTTTATGGGCTCACGTCCCGAAATCGTTTTCTCGTGCATAGATTACTTTTCGTATTCATAGATTTGACGAAATAGTGGTATCCGAACGAACTTTACGTCCTTTGACCGTACGTCTGTCTGCACGTCAAAGCTTTTTGACGTACAGTCAGAGACAATCGATGTACAGTCAGAATCGCCACCAAGACATCCTGATGGCATTTCGCGGCGGCCGACTGCCACCGGGAAACCATTAGAAAGCCGACAAGCGGAGTCTGACTGGAGTTTGACTGTCGGTCAGAGTAACTTGTTGGCCAATCGGACATGCTTGACGTACAGTCAGGCACAGTCAGCGGTCCACTAGAAAACATTGACTGCCAAGCAGGGTTACATTGATGGATTTTTCCTTCGGGTAGCGTATTAATAAGACGATTGCTGGGTATTATCAGAAACCACTAAAGTAAATCCAGTTTCAAAATGTTCTATCCCCTCCCCCTAAAGAAATGCTACGGGCCCTTTCTGTGGCTGCCTATACACATGCTTAGCGGTATGAGACGCGGCTGTCCGAAACTCTTGGTGGTGCTCATGACACGGTATCTTTACCCCAACAGCCCATAGAAAACTAAAACTTGAGAGTCGCATCCCATTGGCTGCGTCTTCTCACCAACAACCAATAAGACAACAGAAAAACTGTGGCGCCAAGAAAGGTTCCCCAAGAGCCTTACCTCGCGCACATATGTTTGTGGTCGGGAACAGAGCAGGAAAAGTGCCAGCCATAGAATCGTCAGGAAACCAAAGAGTTCTTTCTTGAATGAACCTATGCTACTGGCGCCATCGCTCAGCTCCCATACATAGTCTCTGCGGAAAGAGGTTAGGCGTGAATTGGTTCGTCAGAGTGTAAAGCACGCAGACATGGAACACCATTGCCTTTATAATAAAGTACTACGTGGTCATCGGTAAACAAAATGCCATTTGTATTATTCTAATGGCTCCGGGAGAGACCAAGTGAAACTGTAATGTTCCCTGCAGCACAGTTGCATATATTGTTGTTACTTTAATGAAGTAAGCTACTATGTCTAATGTTCCTCATCAGCGTCATAACGTTTCAGTATTTTGAATATTAGGTAGCTCAGTAATGCTGAGTGTATTTTATATTTTCTTTGCAACAAGTCTGGATATACACAGGACGTTTCTTTTCAAGCTTAAAATATGTGTTTAAATAAGTCGTGAAAGCTACACTAATGCTGTTGGGGCAGGTGAGTTATTCCGCCCGAGGGACATAGTATAGGGGACAAATTGTAGGGATGCGTCGGATAATTAAGTAAAATAAGTTACTTGGCGATTTAAGTATTGACAATAAACATGTGGTTCTAATAAGAAACTTGATGAGCGTCATCGCAAACATCTAAGTCAGTCGACATTAGAAATACTTGGAGCACGTGGGAAGCAAGGGGGAGCACTTAAGTTACCACTCCTGCAGCAGGAGCCAGGCTCCAGGTTCGCTAAGGCGCCCGCGATGTTTTTGTTCAGTCTTTTATCGTAGTTCCTGCGTTTTGCCTCTTACACGCGTGGCAATTTTAGCGCACTACTACGCTTCCACGCGCCCTGAGTTTTTGTTTCGAAAACTTACCGATTTAGTTTTATTTTTTTTATGCTAAGCAAGTTTCTAATTGAAATCATAAGTCTATTTCAACTATTTGAAAATTCATTTACAATTTTTTGTGCGATATTTGACTTATTGTGACCATTATTCCCTTTCCGTATGACTCACCTGAACAAGCCGCATTAATGTAGCTTTCGTGGCTTTTTTAAACATATTTGTTAAGCTTAAAAAGAAACACCTCCTATATATTATGAAATGTCCCGTTGCTTCGTTATGTATGGTTAAAACATAAAAAAAAAACTACTGGACTTTATGTAAGTCAAATTAAAACGCTCCAAAACCCTTTTAAAAAACGTCATATATTTGATTTGTCATCAACGTACATGGTCTAAAAATAATCATTTTCGTAATGCCTTTTTTTTAAAGCACATGGCTCATTAGTATTGAGGGTGATCTGTATATTGATTTTAACAAATGATTTGAAGCAGTCATGTCATTCAAAGAGATGAAGAAAGCGAAAAATTGAATGATATCAGACTTCTACGTAGCACGTTACAGGTAACGCGTTGTCCCTGTCTGGTTACTTTTTTTTAGGAAGTAACGACATAGTTACTTTCCGGAAGATGGAACAATTAGGGTACTTTCGTTACTTTTAGATGCAGTAACAAGTAACGATATTTGGTTACTTCGAGAGGGGAAGTGTACAACATAGGCTACCCAATTTGTTTTTCACCTAAGGAAGACCGTTCGATCTAAGCACCTAAGTATATTAAAACATAAAGAGAACATTGCATCAACAACACGCAAATACAGGTTTTTTTTTTCATATCATATCGTAAAACAGTCTTGGTAGTATATATATATATATATATATATATATATATATATATGGGTGGTTTCATTTCAAATCGTGCAGGCAAAAAGGGTCGAATTTTTAATTTCGATGAAAAAAATATATGTTATGGCGCCGTTTTTAAAAACGCAGTGGCCGCAGACCGCAAGTTCGTCGGATTTTTTGTTCGCGACTTATGAATTTTTAAAGAGGCCGCGGCGAAAAGCAGTGTTTTTCACACCCGTCGTGGGTCGGATGTTTCGCTTGATCTCCCGCCGTGGATTTTCAGTCCACATTATATTATCTTTTTTAAAGCACTCTGTGGACACATTTAAAAGGCTCCAATACCATAAAATAATTTTAGGCGTTTTGCTTTTTTTCTGTAAAAATGTCAAATACGCCCCCTTGTTCAATTGTTGACGAACTTTGACAATTAATTACTGGCGATCTACTTGGGTTACATCAATACTTTTTATGTCCACGGAGAGCCCAAAACACGTTCTTTATATGTATTATAAAATAACTTGGCTGTATAAAATATTCTTTGCGGTACGTTTACGTTAATGTTATGTGAAAACCAAAAAGTACCATTTTTGAAATTGATTTTCTCAAAAAACCCATTTTTTTTTTGTTAAAATGTAGATGTGATAGTTTTCTATGCGAAAATCAAGTCTAGAAAGTGTATATTTTGTTTGTATGTTTTATATTTAAGCATCAATATCGTACAAAAACATGTTTTTACGGCACGAAATGGACTTACGAATTGCGCGTCTTCAAAAACTTGGAAATAGTTTTTTTTATTTTTTTCAACGTTCCCACATAAAAATGAAATACAGTATTTCCACCCTGTTATATTTATTGATTATTTAAATTTTATTATAGGCGGCAAGCTACATTGGGAGGAGTTCCAAAAAGAGAAAGCAACACTTCTTAACAGACCAGCAGGTGTCGTAAATTTTTAACGTGTTGGAGTCGGCAGACGTCGTATTGATTCGGGGCCCTCATTGGCCTGCATGAACGTCCCGCCCTTTCGGAGCCAGCAGATGACCACGACCTTTCGCGCTCGTTGTGTTATATAGGACGGCCCGTGACAGTAAAGCGAGCAGCGCACCCTGTGTCACGAGGAGTGAAATGGTACGATTGTGTCGTTGACGCGGCGAACAGTGACAGCCACCCAGGAGGAGTCAGTCAGAGTATTGCACAAGGGAAAGCAAAGGAATCGTTGCCTGAAAGGATGAGGACACCATGGCCTTACAATATCGACGGTCAACAACTGTTCTGCCAGCCAAAACAACGCCGCGTGCGCGCTAAAACCGGCGGCGCGGGACAGAAATCCCACAGACGCACCCACGAAGATGGGCCGGTTTCGTTAGGGATGTGGGGAAATTTGAAACCAGCCATCCGTGCATGCGTGAAACGATACCGCCTGTTTGCCCCAGCTTCGAGCGCCCTATCCTTACCTTGAAACGGCCGTGCTGTCTCTCTCTCTCCGGGGAGATCCGATAGCACCGAAGGGTTATCTATTAAACTTGAGGAAGAAAACGAGAAGGGGCTGTTTAAGTTTAATTATCCCCACCAGCCCGCTCATTCTGTTCTTATAAAGGGCTATCACTTTTGGAAACAGCAAAGCCCGAAAACTGACATTACAACGAGCCTGTTGGTAAATATACTTGTGTTTGTATTTTGCCCGGAGACTAGTTGGGTCGAAGTCAGCCTCCTTGTCAACTATAACCGTTTGTGAAGAGTGGGCTTCTCCCGAGATGAAAAGTCAGCGCCGGCTGACGTGCTCTTTTGAAAAAGGGATGGGGAAAGAGAAAGTTTGAGTAACTGCAGAAACTACCTCGAAAGCTCCTCTCCCGATATGAAGCTTCAGGCATAGTCTCGGTTGCCTTCTCGCGCATCGCCTGCTCGAATCTATTCTTCACTTTCTTTCGCACAGCCACTGTTCCTCACAGCCGTCGTGGATGTGCGTAACAGAGGGAAAAACAGATTCGAGCATCATCTGGACGCCGTCATCCTGCCAGACTTCAGTGTCGTGGGACCGACTCGTGTGTGTTTCTTCGCCCCGCTGAACTTAGTTTCTCGGGTGCGTTTTTGAACGTTTTTTTTTTTTTTTTCAATGTTTTTTTACTAACTGTTTGTTAGCACTGTTCAGTTGGGTTTATTTTGTCATGGCGTAGCGGCCTAGGCGGTGATGTAGAGAGCGTGTTCGCACGCATTTGGTTGCGTCCCATTTAGGGAATGCCCGGAGGAGTTGGTTTATCTTCTTGCCATGTGCGGCTGAGTTTTCCCGTCTTTATTAAATTATTTATTTTTTGTTTGTTTTACCTTTACGTGCCGTCGACTTCTTTGTCTGACTCTCCACCAGGCGTGGACCTATCGTCTTGCCACCACTCCAACCTAAATACTTTATTTTTTTTAACGCAATTTTCGTTAAGATCGCAGTTGGGCAATTTAATTCCTATTTATTTATTTTTATTTCCTACCCCTCTCCATGACACACTCTCTGTGTGTTGCGGACCGTTTCTGTGTCACCACTTTTGTGTATTACGGAAGTGAAAGGACATTCCCTGTGACCTGTGCGATGTGCGGTGAACAAACCCCCAGTGTTTGGTTTCGGAAAGAATTGTATATAACATATCGACGGATGTGGTGACTTTCTTTGTCTCGGTAATATGACAGCTATTAGCTAGTCGTGCTAGTTTACTGTGAAAGGTTTATAAATCGAAACAATGCAACGTCTGTGCCTTTTGGTTATTCAAAGTCTACTAGGCCTGCTGATTTGGTTAGATATGTATCTCGTGGTTCCCGCTCTTATCAAAACATACATAAATATTCAATACCACAAAATTCGTTTATAATTGATTACAAAATGCAGAAGAAAATTTAAGAAAACTTTTTCACAATTCATAGAGCCGCATGGGTCGGAATGTCTGACTTGGGTCTTGCAAAACAAAGACGTTTTTTTCCGATATTGAGGCCTAAATATAAAACATACAAACAAAATATACACTTTCTAGACTTGATTTTCGCGTAGAAAACTATCACATCTACATTTTAACAAAAAATAAAAAAAATAAAAAATGGGTTTTTTGAGAAAATCAATTTCAAAAATGGTACTTTTTGGTTTTCACATAACATTAACGTAAACGTACCGCAAAGAATATTTTATACAACCAAGTAATTTTATAATACATATAAAGAACGTGTTTTGGGCTCTCCGTGGACATAAAAAGTATTGATGTAACCCAAGTAGATCGCCAGTAATTAATTGTCAAAGTTTGTCAACAATTGACCGAGGGGGCGTTTTTGACATTTTTACAGAAAAAAAGCAAAACGCCTAAAATTATTTTATGGTATTGGAGCCTTTTAAATGTGTCCACAGAGTGCTTTAAAAAAGATAATATAATGTGGACTGAAAATCCACGGCGGGAGATCAAGCGAAACATCCGACCCACGACGGGTGTGAAAAACACTGCTTTTCGCCGCGGCCTCTTTAAAAATTCATAGGTCGCGAACAAAAAATCCGACGAACTTGCGGTCTGTGGCGACTGCGTTTTTAAAAACGGCGCCATAACATATATTTTTTTCATCGAAATTAAAAATTCGACCCTTTTTGCCTGCACGATTTGAGATGAAACCACCCATATATATATTCTTTAATTTCTCTAAATAAATTTTTTTCAGCCTTCCCACTCTGGTGAAGAAGGAAGAGCAGCGGAGTTGTACTTTGTGCCGCCGTCGCTCATAGATGGCGGTAGCTGTCCAGTGGGCTGTGTCGAGGTTTATTTGTCCACGGACACGAAAATAGAGAAACTAGCCCTCCGCTCTAAAAGTAGATGTGAAAGCCATGTTATTGTTCAGTTATTTGAACTGAGTAGCCAATTTTCTACTATAGTCAGTTACATCTCAAAACGGCAGGAGAAGCTCTTCCCACAAGCGTGATGCGCCCGTTTCAAATCCGTCCGCAGTCAAAAGAAGAGTTCACTGGAAACGCTCATTGTTCCGCTTTAATAGATAGATATTGGCTACAAAGTGATGCCAACTTGTCTCTGATCCCTCTTTTTAAGAAAGCGATCTTTGTATTCATCGGAGGGGGAACTGAGCCCCCGAAAGCAGCCTTTGTACTCATCGGAGGGGGAACCTAATCCCCGAAAGTCGTATTTGTTTCCATCGGAGGGGGAAAACTTTAATCTCTCTCCCGTGGCTTGCACAATGCTAAGTCAAAGTCGAAAGATAAAGCAAATATGTACAAAAAGGTAAGACCCTCCTCGCGCGTTGGCCGCGACGTCACGGAAACGATGGGACGCGATTGGGCGCGGAGGTTGCGGAGGGATATATGATTCCCTTTGAGGGGCCTTTGCCCCTGCCTTCTTGATCTTTAACTTACTATAGATATATGAAATTTCGAAGCACTAGGCGTGAAGATTGCCACAATTTTACTATGGTAATTTGCAAAGCCGTCGATTTCACACCAAGCATGTACGTAGTAATCGTTTTTCCAGCGTATTTTATAAAAAAGTTTACAACATGTACACAGAATATGAAAAACAAAAAAAAAATATTTTATGCAAAAGAAAAAAAAAAGCTGCGAAACACGTTTTAGAGACACATTTACAAATTATTTAACAACAAACTACTTTATATAAAGTGACCCCAAATGTATCAAGGTAAGGCTGAGCGTTTTCAATTTGTGGTTCATTTTTGTCGTGAAAAAAAAATCTTTGTTAAGTTTTGAGTGAATAAAACATAACGGCAGACTTGGACGTAGTTCAACTACTCTACTCAAACTACTGTAGTTTAACTACTTTTTCGAGTAACTTGGTAACTTTCAATTACAACTTGATTTGGATAATTAGTAGTTTAATTTAACTACTTTTTTCAGGTAACTTCTACTCAAATTACTAACTATTTTCGAAATTATATAGTCCTAATTTTGCCCATCACGAAAGTCTAAGCGCAGAAATGAATAAGACGCCGGCAGATGAAGTGGCATTCCCGAACAAGGGGCCCCCGTGTTCGGGGAGGCGTCCTTGGGCCAAGGTGGCGACGAGCAGCCAAAACATAACACCGGCACACACGAACGCAGGAAGAGATGCTTAACAAACCTTGGTCAGGTATTGACCTAATCCGGTAATGCACGCAGGCGCCGCGTTTCCAGCTGCAACCGTAAAAGACGGGGACCCGAGAGTTGTTGTTTTCGTGTTGTCAGTCTTTAGTGAGTTCTGACTCAAGCGGTAGGTTCCACGGGGGGGCCACTGGAATGACCTCGCAGCTGGGCGCCTGTTCCCATGGTCGCCTTGTCGTCAGCGCATACGCCTTTGCAAAGCCGGACTCCCCCGCTCACAAGCCCTGGTACGGATAATCTGTTCATGGTAGCGCGTTCCCGCTTCCAGCTGCAACTGTATACGAGCGGCGATGCTTGTTCACATAATCCTTTGCGTCCTTCCGACCATCCATGCCTGGGAGACCTCCTCTTTGTTAAAACGATTTACTTAAAAGGGCGGTGCAACGATTTTCGGACTTCGGTCAAAGATTTCTGGAAGTTGCCCCCTGACACTTCTGAAGTAGAGAACAGAAAACCGATTTCGCTGCGTGTCCTAGTTTTTGCGTAAAAAAAAGATAAAGATTGGCATTTCGGGCACCCTTCAACTCACTCCCAGCCTTCAGGGTCACACCTGGTCGCACTCCCAGTGACGTCATTCGGAGTGCCGTGTAGCTTCCCGTGTGCTATCTCGGAGGACGCTTCCCCTCCCTCTCTCTGCGTACATTAGCGGGCGCTATGCTGCAGCTTAGAGCCGAGCGAGGTCACGTAATCTTTCCGCGGTAGTTCCTTCGGCTGCCACTTGGGGCTGCAGGTGGGGGAAAAAGCTCGACTTTTGCTTTGCGATTATGCAGCGGAATCGCGACATTTTTAATGAAAGAAGTGTTTTCTCTATCATCTGGGACACGATAAACAACGTAAAAATGACGAGATGCAAATTCTTTTAATCATAAAATCGTTGCACCGCCCCTTTAATTGTCAGGCGTGTCAGGCACGTCAAAATATTGTAGTCGGCGGCGAGTATTGCGAGTTACCCTTGGGAGATCCTTTTGCGTTTCATCTTCTGTTAAACCAAAACAATTTTTTTTTCTGCAGTAGCGTAGCACTAGCACTACAACGGGACGCGCAGTCGTCCGGATGATCTCATCGTCGTGGCGCGAGACTTGAACCCTTGACGGTCTGGTGCACTTGCTCTGCGAACTCTCAGAACGACGTCGGAATAAAGAGGGGCCAGTCATAACAATCTCAACTTGACGAAGAAAAAAAAGAAAGAAGGAAAGTTTGTTATAAAAGACCCTCTACTCGAGGCAAACCTCACATGTTTCGTCATGTGCACCTAAGATGCCGACACTCGCTTACCCGACCCTGCACAGCCTGTTTCTCAAATTCAACGCTGCCGTTCCACCCAGCCCGTCGGTGGAACGTCTTTTTAGCTTGGCTGGGGACGTCTTTAGAAGGAAAAGGGGAAAACTCTCATATCAAGAACTTTGAAGAACTGCGAGCGAATAAACTATTTTGACGAAAACGCAAGCCAGAAATAGACTGCATTTATTTTAGGCTCGCAGGGTTTTTCATTGATCAAAACTGTTGTTCATTTTGCTACCACAAAAATATTAAAAAGTAACTTCGAAAGTAACTTCAAAGTAACTCGCTACTTTTCACAGTAGTTAGTAGTTTACTCAATTATTATTGGAAATGCGTAATTTCTACTCTACTCCAATTACTTTTGACGTCAATACTGAGTAACTTAACTACCTTTTTTGAGTAATTTGTACATGTCTGCATAACGGTATGCAGTTACTTTTTTTTTAATAATATCAATAACTAACATGGTTTTCATAAAAATGAATTCAATAAAAGAATGGTTTAAATATTGTTTAAAAAAAAACGTTTCGCCTCACCTTAGTCTGAGAAGAAACCTATATAGTTTGCAATTTCTACGTTCCTAGCTTCTCCAACCTCCGTAGCAGCTGTTTGTGAGAGTGAAGCTTTCTACGCGGTTACCCGACCTGTTTAGTACCACGTGATCCCAGCGATAACGTCATCTTCAACAAGGGGGCAACACCGTTAGAGACGCGAGACGAGACCTAAGAAACGACGTTGTTAGCACCAACAGTGAGAGTGAGCTTTGACTTACGTAAGGTAGGCCTCCGAAGACGATCGGCTCGCGTCGATGCACAACGCAGAAAGGTTGCCTACGGTGGCCGGCGCATTCGAAAGGGGGAGGATGCCAACAGGAGACGACCTGGGGTTGTTGCCTCGGTTCGGCACCGTTGTGGCACTCCCGTTACCTTGTTCTTCCTTGCAACGTCGCTGCAAGGACGATAAAAAAAAAAAAAAAAAAAAAAAAAAAAAACATTATTCGCTTTATGTAAACATCAATTCCAAATGCTTCATTGCTTTCTCACCTCGAAAATCGCCGTAGTGTTTTGAGTATTTGTCTATTTATTTTCACGGAAGTTTCATCTACAATCGGCCCCTCTGACAGAGCCGTTGACGCTCGATGAAATGTCCCAAAACTCAGGTTGAGGGGGCGTCTTAAAAGCTTGCGCAATGTCATGATAATTGTCTAAATGTATCTATAGTAGCTATAGCTACAGCGTGTATCTATAGACCAGCCCAACTCACTGACGTCACGCCACTGTGGTGGCGCTGCTGTCGTTACTGCACATGAGCAATCACTTTTGCCGAATTCACACTTCTCCCGAGCGAACAAGTGTGTTTCGGGTCCTCGCCGCTGCAAAATTTGTGCGGTTACATCCAGGTTCCCCAAGAAATGACTCTTAAATGCTCTGTGCTACCAGATCCTCGCGCTTCAAATCTGCGACAGGGCACTCTGTGGCTCCGTCGTCGAACTCCCAGGCTTTGTGGGTATAGAGGAGGATATGATCCAACCCATAAGGACGACGAGAGCCATGAAGATACATTTTTTGGCGCTGCTTAACTTTCTCCGTCAAATCATGGCGTTAACTGAAGTCGAACTTTGTGTGAAACAAATATAAATTCACTGCATATTAAAAAAAATGGTATTACACTTGTTTTTATTCTATTAAGCTCATCGGAGATTAAGAGAAATAGCCTGCGTGCGATTCTTTCTGCGGTATAAAATGCGCAAAAGGGAGCGCTTACAGATTCGTTGTCGGGGTCGTAGCAACTGGTCCACTCGACCCTGCAGCGCGACCACGGTATCCCTTCGGCGACCCCGTGGACCAGGTACAAGGCGGTGTGGACCTCTCGCAGGGACTGGCATACAGCGAGCAGAAAGCAGTATGCCACCGACATGTAGCCGACGCCTGAAAGGACAACCCCGTTGTGCTACAACAGATATTCTTTTCGATTTTTTTTTCCTTCATTGCAAGGTGAGTTGTTTAAAAAAGGCCCCCCATTTTCCATTAAAATTTTCTGAACATCACTTATAACGTTTTATTAAGACAACGGTTTGTTTTCAAAACTTTGGCATCTGGTTCGAATCGCCATAGAGCTACATTTTGCGCGAAGTATAAGCGTTTGGCTATGTGTAGTTTATTTTTGCGATAAAAAAAAAATAAACTCGGAACTTTTTTTAGGGCATGCTGTAGTTATTAACCACGAAACGCAAAGTAAAGCGAATCCCCAGCTTTTTATTATCGCTCTTCATCAATAAAATTACGAAATCAGACGTCGTAGAAACAACCACAAAGCAGGAAGCATAAACATAATATGTCATGACTTGTGTTTATTAAGCTGACGGGCACAATGGTTTCAGTAGTTAGAAAAAAACCAACTTTTTACACTAATATAAAGAAAAGAAGCATTCCCGAGTAATTTAGAAATTACCTACTAAAATTATAACTTTTTTTGACCTGTTGACGAAACTCAAGCGAGCTCAGGAAATGTCGCCAACAAGGTCGATTAACTTAGATACTATTTCGTTCAGTGTTTGGTTCTTCGCGGTCTTGTCGCTTTAAAAAAAAGTCGAATTTAGTGCCTGCTTTCGGGATGGTATGGACGGATGTCTCGAAGAACGCGCGGGCTCACCTGTGAAGAGAGGAAAGCACCTGTAGAGCTCTGTCACCCCTGAACTGCTAAATTGTCCCAAAACCAGCTCAAGATAAAGAATCGGCTGCACCAGCAGAGCGTACATGACGAGGAACGCGACGAAGAAGGCCCCTGTAATGAAACATACGCCATAGTCGTTGAAGAATAAGAAACTCGCGGTGGTTCGAGATCCGAACGTCTTGTTATCGTCCCACACCCCATTCGTTGGGCAGTATATTAGCCGATAATATTGCCGAAACACAAATCGCCAAGCACGACGTGTGAACATCAGAAACCGCAGCTCAAAATTTCTTGAGCTCTCAGCAACCATATTGAGACGATCAGCGCGTTTCGCGCGCGTTTCGACCGGTCCGAGTTAGCTTTTACATTTTCCCCATAGCTGACGACTTTACTAAACTTCTCCCGAAACAGGGTCAGGTTCAAATAAGGCATCACGTGAAATAACCTACGTCACCGCCCACTTCATGAGAACTCTCCCACGGCAGGTGAATCGCCGCGAGTCCAACCACACCACCTAGAATAAGCAAAGCCTGCGCACTAAAACGTCTGACGTCATCATAGTGTGATCGAGCCAGACACACGGATTGGACACGAGTGCTGCGTCAGGGATCGGCTAGACCTCGTGTTCAATCAACGCTCGGCACCGGGCTCGGGTCCAATCACCAATTAGGCGCCATCCGACTGTGATGACGTTCCGTTGATGAAGGGTGGGGCGTTCGAAGACCTTCATTATTCTAGACGGTGTTGGTCTAACCCTAAAGATTTTTTGTTTTTGTTTTCTAGGCACCAAAGGTTTATAAGAACACCACCGATTCACCTCCGTGGCGGGTGACGAGAACCGGAATCTTCCAGAATCCCGAAGAACCGAGGCAGAACATGAAGACCAGGAGGAAGGTGTCCATCCCGCTCGCGTAAAACACAGTCTCGGGTGTGGTCTTGACTGGCGGCGTAGTGGGACCGGGCATCAGCGGAGGCCTCCAAGTGTCCACGGGAAGGATGACGTCTCTGGCAGCGCTGGCGGCCGTCCTTTCACGAGGGTTTACATTTTCATCCTCCCGCCCTTCGTCCCAGACGTGGGCCCAGCTTTTCAAGGTGCTCTGTTGTTCTTGCAGACTGCTCCGGTGCAGATTGGGGTCGTAGACAGGCCACAGCGCAACATTATTCAGCGATGGATCTGCAACAAAATAGAACAGTACGTGTACTGAACAAACCATTCTGTGGCTCTGATATTCTTTTTTTTTTATGTCTAATGTACGGAGGAAGCCCGGCGAATAAGAAGGCTAAAACTATTTTCCGACCTAAAGAAAAAGTCGGCACTCTGAAACTCAGTGTGACGTTTTCACTGAGGTCAAATGTCTACGTAACACAAAACAGACTGTTTCTGCGGGCCTAAACATACCTTAACCCTCGTTATTCTTGCCGAGCTGTTCTCGTAGATTACAGCGATCAGCTCTCACAAGTGCTTTGCAGGAATGTTGAGACGCGCCCGAATAGGCAGAATGGCGTTCGTAGACGTCCTTTGTTGTTGCCGGCATGGTAACGCTCAGTGCGTTAAGAGTTATGGCGAACAACGCATATTAAGCGCTTGTACGCGCTCAGCGCGCGTCGATTGCATTCCCACAGTCACTGATGGTTAAATAATACAAGGCACGGTTAATTACGTTTGTCCTTATTAGCTTGTTCTCGGAACTCACCACTCTCTGTGTTTCTTCATTTGTCAGCGACTATGCGGCGAGCAAGTGTTATACATGCGTCATTGGCGCGTCGGCATGCACGCGATGAGGAGCGTGCCAGTCAAAGGGTAACATAAAAAACCTGAGGCAAAATGCGATGACGATCTGACTATAAATGCGTTTGGCCTTTGGTTGAGCTAAGGGGGGAAACAAAAGCAGGTTAGCGCGTTTGGAGGTGAAACAAGCGCACGAGGTGCGGCAGAAGCAGACGAACTTGCATGCCGTGTAGTACTGATATGCCATTAGAGGATAACTAAAGACGTTCTTCAAAAAGAAAACGAGTTAGAGGGGAGTTTTAGAGTACTCATATCTCGTGAATCTGAATATCACGCTTGCTTTCCTTGGAAATGTAACCAAACGTCAGAACACACGAAAAGCTTCCGCTCAGTCGTTGCGTCAAACTAAGATCTTTCGGCCTCCAAGCGCGTGTCGCTTCTGTGGACAGCGTGTGCGATTGCAAGCTTTCCAAGTATGTTTCCCCGCACTGACACCTGTCGTGACGTCATCTTTTTTTTCTTTCCTTCTTTTACCATTTGAAAATAGCGAGAGTGTGCGTGCATAGCTTTGATAGGCGCTAAAGATGCGCAAGAGCGGATATTCCGAAAATTCTGGATATGACGTCACGCTCCGGAAAGGAGGAGCTTCAGAGGTATGCTTAGAAAAGAATGTTCTCCAGCCTCCGTGCACCAAATAGAAAAAATAAATAATCTCGACATATCGGTGATCCTGGAGGCCAAATGAAGACGATGTAAGTGCTTTCCCTCGAACACACAGAACCGCTTCAGTTTCCCTTTAACAACCTTGTCGCGTAGTACCTGCTGTTCCGTTTTACACCAATTGAGAACTCAACTGACGTTACGCCATCCAAATGGGGTCGACCAAGCGCACCACCCAAAAGCGCAATAACCCCCTATAAAAAACCGAGCTAATGCTTTTCTTTGCGTGATTTGTTTAGTAGTGCATTTACCTACTAAACAAATCACGCAAAAAAATACGAAAAAACATTACCACCGTTATTTCTTGGGGGTTATTGGTTCAGTCGGGGATAATAAATGCACTAATTGAATGAGCGCCGTGACCAAGCACTTTTAGCGCTGTTTGATTGGCTCCTTCCTATCGTAGCTTCAAGTGTGCTTGCACTTAGTGTGAAACTGGGTTATTTACTTTTATGGAAGTGAAAATTCTACCTAAAAGATGTCTACAGCTGACTAAAAAAAAAAAATTGGTTGCCGAATAATCCCCGATTCCCCGTTTGGTGAAGGTTAGTTACCACCGAATATGCTGGGGTACTTTCCGCCTGCTTGATTGTGACGGTGCGGAGCTTGGATGGGTCTGAGTGTGGTATCAATGGAAGCTACCCTCGTGGTCCCACTGCGCTCCAGCGCCTTTTCCTGGGCCACTGTCGTCGACAAGGCTTGGGGCGTCTTTCGTGGAAACTCTTTGGAGGGACTTTTGCGCGGTAACTTAGGAAGTGTTGTGAGCAGCTTCTTGGGAAGTGCATCGGACGTCACTTTGGATTGTTCGTCGGAATGTCCC